GCTTCAGATGGTATAATAGTTGTCAGGTAACTTCTGAATTTCTGATTCATGTATCTTGTTTTCTTTACTTCATGACACATTGACAGCCTGACATTAGCAACTATTTGTGCCACAGTATGGAGATTATGCGTCCTCAAAGCACTGATGTTCCTTTATCTGAGACATCCATTAAAGGAAAAATAAGAATCACAACACGCTGTCTATGGCTTGATAAAGGAAAACTTTTGGATGCACTCCACCAAGCTGCACATGCTACACTATCTAGCTGTCCTTTAAATTGTCCTCTCCACCACATCGAAAAAACTGTGTCCGAAATCTTAAGGAAACTAGTAAGAAAATATAGCAGTAAAAGACCTGAAGTTATTGCAATTGCAGTAGAAAATCCTGTCAGTGTCCTTGTGGATGAGATACATGGCAGGCTAGCACGAAAGTCCAGTGCTAGTTCTGGGGTTTCAGCACTAAGAAAATCCATAAATGGAGATCACAAAATGAGGGTGGCATCAAATACGATACAAGCAGAAGAGGATAATGGCCCTGAACTTCCCATGAACATCACATATGAGGAAGAAAAAGGTGAGCTTTTGTTGTTTTTTAGTTTAACAAACTGAGAAAGCATTTCCTAAGTGTTTTTATAGTGATTGTCTCACATGCTTTTAGCCACATTGTTATGGTATAATCTCTTTTCTTGGATCTTAACGTTTAGATTGACTTTTTCCTAATCTCATTTACGGGGGCGCTTTTGTTTCAACTCTTGCCGTTTGAACCACTTCTGTAGAAGAATGACCTCTTCAAATAAATATGTTTACAACTAGTTAATTCATGACCCTGTTTTTTAAATTACTCAGCAGGTTTAAATACACACATTTTAAATACATGCATTATTAATTACAATTTAAACTTTCTGTGTCATCATCATCATCATTTAACCCAGTGCTGCAAAGGCTCCCACCTACGGTGGGGTAGGGGGGGTCGGATGTACGCAGTCTTACCCCTGTCCTAAAGCACAGAGAGACCGTTTCCGGATGATCCATAGTGAAAATCGCGTCCAAAATTGCATGGACTGACTGCTGCTTCATAACAAAGAAGCGCATACAGTTTAGTGAGCCATTTTGCTTTATTCCATCATATTCTCAAGCCAAAAAATAGTGAATCTTTGGCTCCATTGCAAATGATGGAAATTTAAACTTTCTGTGTAGATTGTGTAAATTCATTTATTTGAGGGTTCATGCAAAACTTTGGGAGAAGTACACAATTAGTTTGATATGATAATTGGTCTGTGGATTCAAGCAACTATTCATGTTATGTCCATATTGGAATTTGGTCGTTCCTATGTAAAACATGCTGTTCCTAGCTATTGGAACTAGAAAAATAAATCCATATTGGAACGTATTCGTTTGTTCCTAGATATCAATCCTTGCAAGTAACTAACTATTCATTGTTTGCCATACTAGAGCTTAGTGGTTTGTTCAGTTGTTTCTTTATAAAACATTCTGTGTACATTATTTGGAGCATTATTAAGCGAGTATGTCAAAGTTTTAAAATCTAGTAGGTTTTCATTATACACACACACACACACACACATATATAAGGGATGGTTCAAATACAAAGAGGTCTTCCCATGCAAAGTGAGAATGAATCTTGTGCATTCATTTCCACGTTGAGCCAAAAATGCACTAAATTTGATCAAAAACGCGGTGGCAATTTCGTAAATAATCCGATTTTTTTTACCATCGCGTAAAAGTGCAACGGAAGCATGCAAAAGTGCGACACGATGAGGAAAAAGTGCAACCGTTCGCACTTTGCATGGAGCACCTCTTTTTATTTGAACCCTTCTCTATATATTTGAAAGATAACTGCGTTTTATATGTATATTCCGGCGCACTTATCTTTCAAATATCATTTGACGGCCTTCCCGATTGATTTTTTTGTTCAAATTTGATATGGATGAACTAGACTTGATGAAGAACATACACAAAATATTTCAGCAAAAAATACCACCGGAAACCACCTCAAATTGAGGTGGCCGGACCACCCTCCTGTCCGGCCTGACAGGAGGGACAGGACCGTCCGGCCGCTGCCGTTTGGGGTGGTTCCCGGTAGAGTTTTTTAATGAATTTTTTTGAACATGTTGCTCATTAAGTTTAGTTTGTCCACAAAAGATTTCAGCTAAAAATTCAATCGGAAAGGCAGTCAAATAAAATTTTGAAGATAACTGCGCAAAATTATACATATAAAACGCAGTTATTTTCAAATATTTATTTGACTGCCTTCCCGATCAAATTATTAGCTGAAATTTTTTGTGGATAAACTAGACTTGATTAGAAACATGCTCAAAAATTTCATCAAAAAAATCCACCGGGAACCACCCTAAACGGCGGCGGCCGGATGGCGCCTCCTGTCCATCCGGATGGACAAGATCTTTTTCCTATACACACACACACCATTAGTGCTCACCAGCGTACTTCATATGGCAATCCATTCTCATGGTTTATTGTGTTTAAGTGTAGGTTCTACTGATGTTGAAGGGGATACATCTGATGATGAAACCACAACATCTAAAACATTGCAAGAGTTATCTATGGATGATGCTCCTTCAGAAGAAGATTGCAATGATGACCTCCTTCAAGAACAACTGCATGATAGCAAAAACAGTGCACTCCCCTCGGACTTGTTGAAATCAAAATCTTCAAATTCCGTCAAAAGAAACAAGTGGAAACCTGAAGAGGTTAAAAAGTTGATTAAAATGCGCGGTGAACTCAACAGCAAATTTCAAGTCCCAAAGGGGCGAATGGCTCTCTGGCAAGAGATATCTTCAAGTTTGCAATCTGATGGAATCTTTCGAACCCCTGCACAATGCAAATCACTATGGACATCTCTTGTTCAAAAATACGATGTTAGTGGTTCATTGCTTCTTGATCCATTTAGATAATCTATTGTTCTATCCTGATTGATAATTATGCATTATTATAGTATGTGCAGTAGTGGGCTGATTTGATAACCGTCAATTGTGCCATGGGTTGACTTGTAGTTCAGTAGTCTGATGGCTGTGCATCCCTTCTTTAGCAGGAAACTAAGAATGATGTGAAGAGCCAAGAAAGGTGGTCCTATTTTATGGATGTGCATGAAATTTTGTCAAACTCAGGGGCACCTGCATCAAGACATTAGGGTATCAAAAAATTGGGCTTTGGTGGATTATTATATCAAAGGAACACTCCTGGTCACCTGTCCTGTCATGCTTTGCCAAACTAGTATCAAGCATATCATGATTTTACTTGAAAAAATGTGTCGTACGGTAAATTCCACTACATGGAGGCATGGAGCGCTGGAGCCTGGAGCCACTAGCTTTAGCTTTTGAGCCTACTCAAAACAGGGGTCGGGGGAGGAAAGTGACCAGAGAGCCTGAGACTTGTGTGACCGAGCAGACAGCTTTTACGCTTGGGCTGTTATCGGGTTTGCACATTTGTAATACTGTACTAGTAGAAATGTAGAATGAATGAATTCTAAGTTTCTAACATTAGAGCGTATTATTTATGCAATTATGCAAGTTTGAATGACTTAAGTTCATAAGTTATACGTCGTACAATGTTTTCTTTTTTCTTTCGAGCGAAGCAAAGTAGAATTTTGTGGTGGTGGATTTTTTTCTTTCCAAAATATTAGTAAAATAAAACTTATTTACACAAATATGACTAATAATTATTACAATAGTGTCATGATCAATTATGTTTGAATATTGAACATAAGTTACTATGATTAATTTACTAGTATAGTCGTTAATCACATTTTTGTAAACAATACATATTTTAGTAATAAATATGTAATTCTTTAATTTTTTAAACATATATTTATTAATAATATAATATACAAATAGTAGAGACCTGATTAATTATATAATACCTAAAATTAGTAATGTTATATATAAATGTAGAATTTGGAATAAATAAAAAATTGTGCTTCCCAGTTTAAATATATGAATTTATTTTAGCCATTGATGTGAAAAAAAGAATGAAAAAGATTAGATTATGTAGGAAATATTGCGACATTATAGTAATTGCGTAGAATGTTGAATATACGCAAATTATAACGTGAGATCATCCCACGGTGAGCATCGTGTTCCAAGTCCAAAAACGGTGGCGTTTAGTTAAAAAAAAGGAACAAGTCTGCCCTTTCCCTACAGAGACAGAGCTCTGCACGTAGCCGGCGAGCACGAAATAAAATCCGGCCAAACAAATTAAATCCTATTCAGCTTTGGCTTTCTCTGATTGCAGCTATCCTATTCTGCTTTGGCTTGTACGACCTATCTAAACCTGCAAACACAATCGATCACAATCCCACTTCCGTTCCTCCAGTTGCACATCAGTGATGAGTCATGGATGTTTTTGCTGGCCAAGCATGAGAACATTAGGGTTGATTAGGAATCTTCATATACACACACACATATTTCAGTTTAGACAATTTACATTTTGATTTGGCTCAAATTACATTTGAAAATACATTCAGTTACATTGGAATTTGTCTAAAGTTACACGTCTATTAATGTGAGTTACATGTCAACTTTCATCAACAAGTTACATCATACTTTCACGTGATTTACATTTTATATAATATGAGTTACACTGCAATATAATGCGAGTTACACAACACAATCAACCTTTGATATTCAAAGAAATTTTTTATATAAAAAAAATCATTTTTGTAGCCCTGATATTAAAAGCAAAACAATAACACTACTTATGTATAATAATTTGACTTCTTTTTTATCATTATTTACATTTAAATCAAAGTTTACTTCTTATACTATGTATTTGACAAAGTTACATTTCGACTGAACTTGAGTTACATTGATCAATAACGTGAGTTACATATATTTACATGTGAGTTACATCATTCATGCTACTTGGACAAAAAGAAGGAAAAAACAGTTAATGTACACGCGTGTACTGTTCACGCGTGTACTGTTCACGCGATTTTTTTAAAAAAAGATTGTGCAAAACTATGTCGTTTTGGGAGTGGGAGCATGGTGCTCACCGTGGGATCATCCCACGTTATACGAACTGTTGAATATACATATGTATCATTGTACAAAAAGTGCATATATATACCTCAAAAGTGCACTAAAATATACAGTAAACAAAAGAGGCGCATCTGAAATTCATTCATGTGAAACACTGACCAAAGAAGTATAATCACCAATTCAACAGAACAGGCGCATCTGAATTCCTAATCTACAATGTCAGGAAATTGAAGAAAACACCTTTCGACCCTACACACTTGTCCATGCAGCAGTTCAAATTAGGTTCGTCCAGGTGTGCAATTATTGAGCAACCTCATGGTTGTGCTGCTTCCAAGAGCTTCTCATAAACTTGTCTAGCTGTCAAATCCTCTACCTGGTTGGTTCAGTCAAACTTTCTTGTTAGCATGGTACGAAAGCAAGAGCATGAAGAAGAAAATAACAAGCACACATTTTGGCCGTCTACTCCTCCACAATTTCTTCGCAAACACATCATGTATTAACTCTGCTGGAGCAAGGCTAGGGAATTGTATTTTAGTGATTACTCGACAAGTGATGGAAGGACTATGTGACCGAGAGGTCACGGGTTCAAGTCTTGGGAGTGGTCTCTTGTCAAAATGACAAGGAAAGCTTTGCCCTCTATACACCCTTCACTGGATCCTTGCCTGGGGACACCAATGTGCATCGGGCTGCTCTTTACTTTTCAAGTGGTGCATTTAACAAAGAACCTTTTCACTTTTCTACATGTTAACTATGTTGGAGCAAGGCTAGGAAACATTGTGCTGACTACATGCACACCCAACAAGCACAATATGGGACAAGTGTATCACATTTACATGATGTCCATTTCCTTCATGCTCACATAGTCACATGCATATGCATTAATTCATGTTAACATCATGACGGATGCTCAAATAGTTTTACGCAGCTTAGTGCAATCTGAAGGTTCAAAAATAATTATTGAATTCCAGAGAACAAGTTTCTCGAGTTGTAACATACCACAAGAAGTTTAGATTTGCTATTCCAACCTCTTTGGAGAGTCATTTGGGACAGTTTAAGACCCAGAACCTGTACCAAAAGAGAGGAAATGGGTGCAAGTTAGCCAGGTAATACGTTTTCGTTTCATTTAACACAATCGAGAAACCCTTTAGCTTACCCTGCCCATAAATTCTAGAAGTTCATTGTTAGCTTCTCCGCGAGCTGCTGGTGCTGTGACAGTAACCCTAACATCATCAGCATTGACTCCTGAAACCACATGACTAAAGATGAGTTTCTCCCTAACAAATATATTTTTTAGCTTTGCTAGGAGCCTAGGAGATTTGGATAAAACTGTCAATCACATAAAAGCACAACAGTAACAGTTCAAAAGGACATTCAATGTTCAATTACATTATCTATCTGATAAGAACTTGGATCTCTCATCTGACTTTCCTCTAAATTACAAGTCTATTCTCCTCAAAATCAAGCTCATTACAACCCAAATGTGCCAGTCCCCAATTTCAGTTCATCATATAAAAAATTATATTTACCTGATCTCCTTTCTCTTCCATCATTTGCAATGGAGCCAAAGATTCATTATTTTTTGGCTTGAGATTATGATGGAATAAAGCAAAATGGCTCACTAAACTGTCTGCGCTTCTTTGTTATGAAGCACCAGTCAGTCCATGCAATTTTGGACGGGATTTTCACTATGGGTCATCCGGAAACAGTCTCTCTGTGCTTTAGTACAGGGGTAAGACTGCGTACATCCGACCCTCCCTTATCCCACCGTAGGTGGGAGCCTTTTCGGCACTGGGGTAAATGAAAATGAACCTGATCTCCTTTCTCCTTTCCATGTGTACCAACAATGAACTAGTGTTGCTTCACAGAACTTTCACCATATTAACATCCACAATAAGCCACACCATTAATATTAAAGGTGTAGATATACAACTTCAGGGGTTGTTTGATTAAAGGTATACTGTTAAAAAAGGCCCCCCTTCACTACTTTTTTTAATGTAAAATGTGAATTAGAAGGATTTTCCTTCAATCACTCAAATCCAATGAGCAAAACACCACAGTACTATGTTCATATACTAGTTTAATTTCTTTCCCAACTTTGCCGCACCCAACCAATGGATAGTACAGGATTATAAAACATTTAGATTTCTGAAAAGGAGAGCAATGATCCACAAAAGTATACACAACTTGCTATCTAATAAATATTGTGCCTTCTACTTTTGGGGATGTAATTTAATTTTTGCTACACTTTCCCTTTTTGGTATGTTTTCTCTTTAACAATACTCAATTACCCTTACTTTTTCTACTTTTAATCTTCTCGTTCATACTTTTCCACCCACTCTCCTACTTTTTCTACACTATGCATTACCCCTACAACTTTTCCCTTAAATATTGAGTCAAACCCTATTGTAGCAAGTATTTCAATACAGAGGGAGTACTTCATAATTCCCATTTTATATGTCCCATTTTTTAATTTTGGTCCGTCCCGAACTGTTTGTCTCATACCATATTTGTGGGTTCAAAATCATCCATTCTTGACATACTCCCTCCGTCCCTTAAAACTTTGACAACTTTCCTTTTTTGGATGTCTCACTAACTTTGTCACTTTCCATTTCAAGTAAAGAATTTGTGGTTTCAATTAATTCTCTCTCCTCTGCACAAACCTCAACCATACAGTTTTTACTTTATTAATCCCCGTGCCGGTCAAACTTATCAAAGTTATAAGGGACGGAGGGAGTTTTATATAACAACCACACACTTCCACATACTTAGTTTGTGTGTGACTTCCAATTGTCCCAAACAAAGTGGGACTGAAGGAGCACTAAATTTCAGGGACAAAATGAAAAATATGAATCGATTGTGTAATTGTGTATGTTCATCATATGCAACTTAAGAATTTTAAATTCAACAGCACTAGCAAGGAGTGAAGGACACTAAAGAAACCAAGTGCAAAGATATATATGTGTGTGTGTGTTACTTGTAATAGCTGAGCGATGTGCACGGTCCTCCACTTCTATTGCCACTTGAACAAGGCCACCTTCTAGCTGTGATATGCAGGGTGGAACAGGGGCATCCTACAGGTTGGATTACGTGTCCTGAGTTATATAGTCTTCAAACATAAGTCTTTATCTTTAAGAGCAGATAAAGAAGTGCAGCACTAAAGCAACTCCATATTTGCATTATATGGTCATAGTTTGAAGTAAACATGCATGACCTTCAGGACACACATAATACTAGACTCATATAAAGGATAAGCAACTCATTGCCTGTGGATTCGTTTCAGCAGCAATAGTACTAAGTGCACCATCAACTACATAGATAAATGCGGCAGAATCCATATCAGGTTCTGCACAGTAGCAAACAAAGAGACCACACCCCTTACAATTCATGCGGAACTGCTTCTCCAACTTCCCTTCACCACTGTAAAACAGAAAACGGCAGTAAGTAGTCATTGGGAAGCAAAACTTGCACTAACAAATCATCCTAGTATGGCCAAAAGATTGTTGTAGGATATCATATATCACCTCATGTAAAAGGGCTATCACTTATTACTAACAACTAACCATCAGACATTACATTAATATTCTTCAATATTTTTCAGCAGAAATAATAACATGCTATGTATTAAATATGATAATGGCACATTAACATGTTTTCACTCCTGGTGGGGTTTATAAATGTGAACACACATTAGTAAAAAAGCAGCATGGCTGCATGAGGCATTAGAATATGACACTTTTTAACCAAATTGCTGGCTCCGATATATAAATAAAAACATTGAAGTTAAATAAATAATAGAGAGAAACAAACAGAAAGGTAACTAGAGGGTACCGAGAAAAACAACAGTAGGAGATCCATAAGCTCAAATGAAGAGCTACCTCTAATTCGTGAAATTGGGTTACAATTGCAGGTGTGGATAAAAGAAGGTTTGGCCCTATCAATATGTTACAAGCGTGATTGGGAGATGAAGAGAAAACAGGAAAGTTATGGTTACTGGAAAAATAACTCAGCTACCCACCTAGGCAAGGAAGTGTTGCTAGTTACATACTTACATCAAATAGTTGCCTCAAGTCCATAAAATACCTTGTTTATAAAACTATATCATTCCCAATTTACCATTAACTTACTTCTCAACAGCTAGGATTCCTAAGAATACCAATAGAAATTGTGTGCGAGTTTGTGCAACAGTTAGGATAATATCATTATAAATTATGTGAGGAACTATGCACAATATACTTCAAACCGGGCACAAAGAAAGCAACTGATTACCGCTTTAGCAGAACTTTTCCTGCCTCATTGACACTTAATCTTGCAAGATACTTCTTCTTGTCCAGCACATAAGCATTGTCAGTTTTTCGTTTGGGCATTTTCTGCAATTGATTATCTACAAGTGTTTTTTTAGCATGGAGTAACACAACAGCAATCTAACTATTAACCTCATTCATTTCAAGATAAGTAGAGCATTATCTAAAAATTTGTTAGGCATCGAACTCAAGACAACATAAATTCCAGGTTGGCGATCAAGTCTAGTTTCCTTGAAAGTTACAAACATCCAATCCTTCACGAACACCAAAAGATTGCACAAACTTGCTAAATGATACTACGCCCATATTCAAACTACAACATGTATTGAATAAGGCCGACAAGTTTCTCACAAGCTAGCCCTACTTCCATTTCAATGATGTGCTCTGGTGGTTCAAGTTCCATTGCATATTTTTTGCAGTCCCACTATACTGAATTTCTAACCCGGTTCATTCTTTCCCAGAGGATCACTCAGGTATTTATCCCATCTTCATTGCATTTGCAGTATGTAGGCATTGTCAACACTCAACGGTAAGACCGAGAGGTGGTTGTTGGTCCAATGGGAGGGTGAAGCACCTGATAGTGCATCCTGGGAGTCATTTAATCTGTTTCAACCATTTTATCCCAATTAAGTGATTTACAACTTGAGGATTAGGTGGTATTAGAACCTAGGAGGAGGATCGAGTGTAACACTATTATGCAAGCTAGTAAGGTCAAGGTCCTCGATCAGAACCAACCTGCAGTCCAGTTTGAAGTAGGAAAGGGTCTGAAAACAAAGAAGTCGATTTGAGAAGATGGATTCCTAATAAATTTTCGGGTACCAACTTTAGGATTATTAAGATGATTACTTTGTTATGAATTCTTCACTAAGTTTTGGTAAAAGTAGGTGATAGGATTCTCAGTTTCAGTTCACCTCCATTGCTTGTTTTATTTGGAGTCCTCTGTTGCTCCAAAATGGTATTTAGGAGCAAGATCCAAGAAGTCAGCTCGAACAGTTTTCCCATTACAACAACAACATCCAAGCTTTAATCCCAAAAGAACTCGGGGTCGGCTAACATGAATCAATCTATGATATCGATGAAAAACAGAAAAGACGGACAAGAAGGGGAAAAAAGTAAGATAAGGCGGATAAAATAAAGACAAATAAATATAAGATAACAATAACATAAGAATATAAGAAAGATAAAAGATAGAAAGATAAAAGAGCATAAAAAAGCTAGAAGATAAAAATAAGGGAAAAGTACGGAAAATGTACTTGTGGTTGAACCCGTTTTCAGATAGGGTCATGTGTTTCATTCTTTATCAAAGTGGTTCATGTGTTTGAATTCCGTTATCATAAGAGGGTCACACCATTAAAAACATCTGAAAAAGAACGTTAAAAGTAACTCCGATTTTCAAAAGTGCCCGAAAAATTAAAAGAAAAATACCGGAAGGTGCGCCTCAATAAGACGACCGCTAGGCCATCTTCCTTTTTTGTTTTCAGCCACCCTTGTCACCGGAAAGTTCATCGGAAAAATGATATTAGCGAAATCTTTTTTAAAAAATAAATCAATAGATCTGAAAAATCCAAAGGCGAAGGTGGTTAAAAGGTCATCTTGACGAGGAACACCTTTTGGTATTTTTCTTTTAATTTTTCACGCACTTTTGAAAATCAGAGTTACTTTTAACGGTCTTTTTCAGACGTTTTTAACGGCGTGACCCTCTTGTGATAACGGAATTCAAACATATGAACTACTTTGATAAAGAATGAAACACATGACCCTATGTGAAAACGGGCCCAACCACAAGTACCTCTTCTGTACTTTTCACTAAAAATAACATTAGAATATAAAAAAATAAAGAAGATACATGACCCCCTTGAAAGTTTGAGAGTATAGAGCTTTGAAATAGCTTTGATTTGATATAGTATGGCCCTGTAACTCATTATGAGTAAAAAATTATGACTTATACAAAATCATCACTATCTAAACGTAAAATCCGCAAATTTTGATGCTTAATATTGATTATTTTCCGTAATTTTAAAAATAGTGTATAATTCACTCATTACTTACGTGACATGACTAACAACGAGTGCCAATTTATCTTAACTACATATGAAACATTCAACTCGAACATTGTCTAAAGACGATCTACTATTTTCATTCTGTATATACTTGAGTTTCAACTACCCGATCCATTTTTCTGGCTCCGCCACTGAATATATACCCTTAACAGTATTAAGTGTTCTTGGCTAATTTAATCCAGACATGTTATATGACGGATAATGCATGTTGGGATAATAGTTCATGGGCTAATACTTCAGCAAATGTGGTTAACTGTTATATATGAAATCTTTCAATAAATTGTCAATAGGGTAGCTAGCGAATATGATGAAATTCTGAGAAGCATAGTACTGCAGCACAGTTGGAGATAATATCATAAATTCATAATACTGCAATGAGAAGCAAAATCGAGTGATTAGAACAGAGTTAGTCCGGCGCACCAGTGATGAGGACATGGGAGCTGCAGTGCTTGCAGTAATAAACGAAGAGATCGGAGTCCGGTCCGTCTGGAGCGGCGTCCTCGCTGGAGTACGTGTGGGTCGTCCTCTTTGGCATTTCCTCCTGAACTGGTCTTCGTTTCTGCAATCTCGCGGGGTTCTCATACAATAAATTGCGTCACTTGATTAGTGTATGATAAGTCCAATATGTTATTTGCAAATTAGTCCTCCATTTCAGTTTTGAATTTTTTTTAAAACCCTATATAGGGGTTGCTTTGCGCACCCCATATTTACTTTACGTAACCTATGCATGACGATTTTGACCTTTTTGGTTATTAAGTTAAAATTAAGTTAAAAACTAAATAATACTTGGAGTTCTCGTAGGATCAGAAGGGTTGTCCACTTGTCCTTAACAATTTTGCAATATGTGGAGTTCTATTGAGTTTTACTCACCATCCAACAACTTGCTGCTATGTGGCAAAAAATTCATTTTTTATTATATGTTATAACTTTTTTTATTTTTGCTCCTCTTTTTATAAAAATTATATCAAATTAAATATTTTTTTATGATATTTCATATGACATCAATATCATATATATATAAATTTAAAAAAACAATTGGTCAGGTCTGGTGAATAGCCGATAAATGTGTATTCACTACGTAGTATTATTAAAATCTAATCTAGTCCGATCTGATCTAATTTGTTTGAAATATGTTTGGATCAAAATCAGTTCAATTAGAAATATTCTAAATATCATTCACATCCTAAATCTAGTCATGTAACATATATGGTCGTAATGTGGAATCAGCATGGTGCCGATTGAGTTTGATCTGAGATCGAAAACATGAGGAAAATCCAAATTTACGGGGTTCGATAGTTGTGTCAATCAGTTTTTCGTGCAATCCAACAATTGTTAATATATTTACGATATAAACTAGATTACAAATAAAATAGTTATAGCAATTTCATATATTTTTTGTAAAAACTAGATTACAAATAAAATAGTTATAGCAATTTCAAGATTAAAAATAATAACAAGGCTATACTACTTCAAATATTGACAAACTTCATGAAACACATCAAAAAGAAGAAATGGGATACAGATAATGAGGCAGATGAATACCTCATAAGTCTGAAAATCAAGAGTACTATTTTTTAGATAATTTTCAGATTCATTCTCCATTGTATATTTGTATAAGAAGATTGTAAAAAAATTATGAGAGCATTAATAATGGGTTTCAACTATTTATATAGTAGTTGTTTGATGGTAAATTTGAGTATATTTCAAAATAGTTACGTTATTTTTTAGAAACATGTTACACAAAATTTTATAGGAAATATAAAACTTATTTTTATTTTAATGAAACAATAAGACCCATTAAAAAAATTACTCTGTAATATGGATGATAGTGAATTTAATAGGGAAAAGTATGTGGGTGTGCCTAGCAACCTAATTAGGCATGTTTCCTTATCGACTACGTGGGTAAGGATACACTTGTACAACTTTGACAAAATATTGGTGCGCTTAGCAACTTTGGCGGTGCGCCCACCACACCCGCCCTATATATGTACCTGTTACACTCAGGGTACACCCTATATAACAACTCATTTTCTATTTCTCTTCTTCCCACTTTTTTCTCTCCCCTCCTTCCCCTCTCTTCTCTCCCCTTCTCTCTCTCTTTTGCACCATACGAATCCCCTCCCCCTCTCTTTCTTATTTCTTTCTCCTTCATGGTCTTGTTCTTTCTTACTTTCTCCTTTTTTCATCTTCTTCTTTTTCTTTCCTTCTCTCTTTTTCTCTGTTTTTACGTTTTATTCACCTTCATCATCGTCATCCTCTTTCTTTCTTCTTCTTCATCGTCATGTTCTTCTTTTCCCTGCTCTCTTTTTCTTTTCTTTTTACATTTTATTAGCTAAGTTTAGAAACGATTCCTTTGAATCATTGTTGTTCATCATCATCTTCTTCTTCTTCTTCTTCTTCTTCTTTAATTCTTTCTTTTTACGTTTATGCATACCGACACTGGTTTGCTCTCAGTGTCTGTGTACACAAATGAAAATTGTATATGTACAAACACTTTCGTCTACACACACAACTAGTGTCTGTGCATACCGACACTTGTAAACCAATTTTTTCACATTGACACCTTTTTTGTCTACACAGACAACGAATGTCTATGTACACCGACATTGGTTTTCGTGCAACCAACCTGGCAGATCTGAAAACTAATTTTATTCACACCGATAATTTTATCGAAAGTGTCTGTATTTGTACGTTTTTTGTCTGTGTGAATGGCAAATAAATAGGGTGTAACCCAGGGTGTACAGTTGTACACCAAGAATTTCCCTTCAGTTTAACTCTTTTTGGTCGGCTCCTATTTTAAATAAATTTTGAATGAGAATCAACGGTTTTGCTAGGTGTACACAAAATGTGTACATCTTTTTTGTACACTTGTTTGTCCCCCGCAGACAAATTGTCTGTCCACAGACAACTCTGTAGAACTGTCTGTGGATAGATTAACATATTTCAGTGGCTATTGTTTGTAACCGAACATTTCATGTCCATTCCAGTGGCTATTGCCTGTGGCCAGACACTTCATATCAAGTTCACAAACACTTTCACTTAGGACATTAGTCCGTTCAAGTAGCCATTATCTGTAATCAGATAGTTCATAAGGGATAGACAACTCCACTTATCACTTATGGAGTAAAGACAAATAAATATAAATTCACACATTTTTTGGATACATTCATATGTTTCAACATCCAATAAATGAATGTCAAACATATACGAATATATAAACAATATTTGGGAAGAATGGGAGACCAAAGAACGTTGAATATAGAAAGATTTTAAGTGATATTACCGTAACCATAGATATATTGTTACTCTTATTTGTGTGCACTTGGTTGGGTTTGAGATTGCATTATGCTTGTGATTCGTTTATTTAAAAAAAACTTCATCCGTCCCATAATGTAAAATACCCCTCTTCCTTTTGCGAGTTGTTATGAAAATATAATCACTTTCATAAATTGGATTCTACTAATATTTTACTTTTTAGCTTTATATACTCCCTCCATCCCTATATAAAAGTATCCATTCGTTTTCCACACATTTTAAGAAAGTGAGTTTGGTTGGTACTGTTTGAAACCGTTTGGACACTGTTTGACACTGTTTTGCACTGTTTTGTTTGCCAAAAAAGGAAAGGGAACTTTTATTTAGGGACGGCTCGAAAAGGAAACAGATGCTTTTATTTAAGGACGGAGGGAGTATCATTTTACAATTTAATTTGTGTGGATTTAGTAATTAAGCATGCCTGTGGTGAGATGTTCTAAAAGAATTTGGATCCCAGTTTGTACTTTGTACATTACTTGATTACTTCCAATGCTATTTTCTAGAATTATGGTTCACTTGACAAGTCTGTTCAAAATGCTAAATATGTGAAGCTGAAAGAGAAGAAGACAGTGTATCTGCGCTGCATTTGAAAACCTTTTTGTTTATGCTTTTTCACCCAAAGGCTGAAAAGAGAAGAAAGGGTGATTACTTGGGAACGGGGTAAAAACAAAAGGCGCGATGAGCAGTCAAGGTGTGTGGGAGCATTTGCCTCTTTTGTTGAGAGCCAACTCCAAGGAATCGGTGGAATACATACTTCAAGCGCTGTGGAGGACTCGCAAGACAGGTCTCGACGCCGCAGACCGCCAAATTATCCGGGAAATGCTCGACCTCCTCACTGATTCCGACCTTGACCCTGTCCGTCTTTCCCTTCTACTGTGTGCATATATGTCTATGAATGTGTGTTTTTTCCTTTTATTTTGTGGGAGTGAGTATGAAAAGTGATTGACTTATGGAGTGGGTAAAGCTTTCTGATTAGTTGTTGTAGATCAATGATCAAGTGCAAGAAATAGTTTATTCTGATGAAGTGATGAACCTATTTTTTGTTTTGGTTTCTTGAATATGTTTCTAATTTTGTACTTTTATGTAATTCGTCCACTTACATTTCAGTTCTTTTGGATATTTGTACAAAACAGAGTACATTAGCAAAAGTAGAGAGATTACATTTGTGCAAAAGGTGGTTGGAAATCTGAGGTAGAGAGATTTAGAAAGCCTCTGTGATAGCCTCTCAAACATCTTTTCAATTGATAAACATTTTCATTCCCAAATTTGTAATGTCATATGTCAGTGTTTGATAAACATTTTATGTTTCCAAGTATGTAACAATGTAATATAATACTAGGTATATTCATTTTTATAAAGATTTTCTGGTTCCAACTAGTACCATACTGTAATGTAATACATTAATGTTTGATAAAGGTTCAAGCTGTAAGGCGTAGAAAACTAGAAATGGAATAGGGTCACCCGTGTCGTACAAGTAGTTAAAGCAGGGTGGTGTACTCCTTGCACATTGGCCAACACATGCCTATCCCTCTTTTTGGAATGTTTAACTTCTTTCAGCTCTTATTTGTGAGTCTTGACAAATCTTTCTATATTGAACATTCTAGGGGTTGAAGTTTTCAGTGTAGAACTGTATTCAAAACACAAAAGTGGAAAAGAGAAATTTTCCCACAAATGAAGGGTAGTAGGAGCAGGAATGCAAGTGTTGCATTAAATTTCATATCTTGATCCCCAAAATCATTCAGAGTGTAGCTTCACGCATTAAAAATAATGTTTTCAAGTTTTAAGTTAAAGTTTTGTTTATATTTATACATTACGTCCTCCTCTAGAAGGTTTTCAATTTCACTGTTTATATGCCCAACATAATTCCTTTTTTATTATCTGATGTTGTGTATCAATTTTTCATCACGTTTGAAATTGTGTTTATTCTTCAATAGAAATTTTACTGGGTTACTAAGTATGTAATTCTCAACAGTTAATATTAATTTCAATATTATTAGGGGAAAGTTAACTTCATCTTCAAAGACCATAACTGGCAAACCAATTAAGGACGAAGGTGTTAAGAGTTTTGCTCGGGATAGGGGCTATATATGGTTTTGAAGCCATTAATATTGATGTTTACAGGTTTTAGCTTTGAAGTACTTAAAGAGTTAAAGTTAAATAGAAGCACTACTTTTGGTTTTTTCTTTAAAAAACGAAGTGCAATTATAAGCAATAGCAAATGCTGTTTAAGTGTTTTGCTGAGGGGATATGGAGTGTATATGATTTGGAAGCAGTTAATGTGAAATATTTAGTTAGTGAGTGGGTTTAATCTCCCCTTCTGGCAAATGATCTGATAGATGTTTGGGGCTCTACAGCTTCTGGTGTGCCTGCGCATTTTGATGCGTAGATGCGTGTTTGTGGAGGTAGAGAAGGATGAAATTCAGAAGCTGTTTCCAGATGGGGTCCTGCCTGAGTTGCAGAGATTGCTTACGCTTCTGTTCCAAAAATTTCAAAAGGAGTGGCGAGAAGATGCCATAAATGATCGGGTTAGAATCCACAACTCATCAGTTAGCTTATCATGAACTGCTGTCTGCTATCCTTCTGAATAGGTATGACAATGATTATTTGACCTCTTTGTATGTAGCGGCAAGCTTGCCCCATTTAGAGATGATTACTTGGAGTGGGGGGGAATGAGGTTTCTGAAACTCAAGACCCTGTCGGTGTACTCCTCACAGTCCAACTCTAATGAAAGAGAACTGAAGTTTGAAATGATGAAGAATAGATTGAAGACTGATGCGGATGTATAAGGAAGCACCCCCCCCCCCCCCCCCTCATGATGGTGCATCCTCTATTTCATACCCCTCAATGCACACAATGTATATGCAATGACACCACTACTAAGAGGCACTTTTTAATGTTTTTGTGAATGTTCTTATTCTAGAGCTTTAAATTTTTTGTATGAACTTGATTCACACATGATGGAGAATTTTCCATTGTTTGTAGTAGGGATTTAAGAGTGCAAAAGAAGAAACAGCTGAAGTCTCTTTCAGTTTTTATTTATTCATTATCAATTGGGGGGTTGGGGGACTGGGGATAGGTTGGAATGGGGAGTTGCAGAGTCTAAATTCAAACAAGGTCTCCCGATCTTGGATATTCTTTGAAATCTTGTATTTAAGCATTGCTATTTAAAAAAACAGTAACATTTATTTTTGGGAAAATGGAAACTAATAATCCAACCTTTTAGCGATCTTCTTACAATAGTCCCATCTTTTGATTATTCATGAATAATCCAACATTTGCACCTCATCTTCATTCACTGGTCTCTGATCGATTTATGACATGTTATTCTAAGTTATTTTCTTATCTTTGCAAAACATTATGCGATCATAAGGCGGGAATTATGGTATCATGTTTTACAAAGATAAGAAAATAACTTGAAATAACATGTCATAAATCGGTCGGGGACCAGTGAATGAAGATGAGGTGCAAAGGTTGGATTATTCATGAATAATCAAAAGGTGAGACTATTGTAAGAAGACCGCTAAAAGATTGGATTATTAGTTTCCATTTTCCCTTTATTTTTTATAATATAGAAACTAAGGCTATGTTGGAGTGTTGGACATGTGAAAATTACTTATATGGAAAATTACTTGTGTAAAGTCTTTCTCAAGAATGCACAAATGAAAGTAAAAATAATAATTGATTTGTCTAACGGAGTATTTCCAGGACTGACTGTCAAACCAGATAAGCCCCACTTCAGTTTCACACATTAGGTAAACCATAAATCCATAATTAGGGTTGGACTCGGGTCCGGGCCGGGTCCGGGTCGGGCCTAGGTCCGGGCGGGCCGGCGGGTCAGAAATGGTGGACCCGGGTAACCACCGGGTCCGGTCCGGGCCGGGCCGGGCCGGGCCCATTATAATTTTTTATTGTTTTCCTCTTCCTAATTAACCCCCCTCCCACCCCCAACCCCCAAACCACCCCAAATGGCCCAAAATACCCAGCCCAACCCAAAAATTTAAAAAAAAATTGAAAAAAAAAAATTGTTTTTGGCCCGAACCGGGCCCGGGCTCGGCCGGGTCGGGCCTTGTTTTGGGTGACCCGAGCCCGGACCGGAAAACCCACGGGCCGGGCCTACCCGGACCGGTCACTGACCGGGCCACCGGGTCGGGCCGGGCCGGAACAGTACCGGTCCCGGGCCGGTTCCGGGTCGGGCCACCCGGGCCGAGTCCATCCCTATCCATAATACATCACTGAGTATTGCTTCATGCACCCCAAAACTTACTTGCCGCACCTCTTTTAGACATAAATGCCCATTCTCCTTATTTTTCTTTTTGGTTCGTATCTGCATAAAATTTTGAGAATGAACCTCTTTGTTTTAAAATCAATACTCCGTGTCATTTTAATTTTAAATTCAAAATAACATAAGGTCAATCTTAACAATATATACGGAGTAATATTTATAATTTTATAGTTAGGGACTTTTTTAAAACCAATCTTGAGGGAAAATAGTTTTGATGTTTATTAATATATACGGGGAGTATATATATATATATATATATATATATATATATATATATATATATATATATATATATATATATATATATATATATATATATATATATATATTGTACAACATAAAGTAGGGAAAATGTGCAAATATACCCCCAAAGTATATGTGGAGGTGCGTATATACTCTTGAACTTCTAAAAAATGCAAAAATATCCCTAATGTTCCTATAAAGAAGTGAATTTACATTTATTGACTTTAAATAAATAACAAATTCAAAAAAACAAAAATAAATTATAAATTTAAAGTTCGCAATTCAAATATTAAAAAAATGAAAGACTTAAAAAGGAAGATTTATTTTTTGTTAAAATATTAACTATATAATTTTTGTACACTATGTGAAATGAAAATGTGCAATGTAATAAATCATGAATGTATTAACATTTGTGATTAAATTGATTTTTTCTGTCAATTTTAATTGTTCATTATCTTAATGATAAACATGCACCGCCAGGAAGCAGAAATATGCATCGATTCAGGTTGTTTTTATTTGAAATAATTGCATATTTATGACAAAAATAAAGATTGTTTACAAAAATAAGATTATTGATTAGAGTAGTAATGAAATCATAGTAACTTATTTTCAAGTTTTAAACTTAAGTTACCATAACACTAAATTATAGTAACTATTGATCATATTTATGTAAACAAGTTTTATTTCAGTGATAATTTTGAAAAAGAAAACCTTTTCATTTCCACGGGAAGAACAATTTTTAACAAAATTGGATGATATATACGCACACGCTTTTGAAGTATGTTATTTTTATCAATGTTAGTTTTTCCTATTTTAAATATTGGATCAGGTAGGTCATCAACTTTTAATCAAATTTCCTGTTTACAAGGTAATATTTTTCAACTTAAATATTATAGGAGTAATCTGAATTTGCACCCCGTATAATGTCCAAATTAGAGTTTGCATCCCGTTTTTAAAAATTTTTGTATATGCACTCCACCCCATATGAAAAGACAATTATTCCCTCGATCAGGAATATGTTGAAGGCCAATAAAATTGTTAATGGATGACATTTTTGTCCCTTTTATATGCGGTTGGAGTGCAAATACAATTTTTTTTTAAAAACGAGTGCAAACTGCAAAGTATGATTTGGACAACAAGATGAAGTGCAAACTCAAACTACCCCAATATTTTACCTACTATTTTAAATAGCATCAACAAGCATCTTTATATTGATACTGTAATAAATACGGAGGAGTAAGTAAAGTAGTATCAGTAAAGTGATAAAAAATATTAACGAAGTTAAATAACTCTAAAAATGGCTATAGATTTTGAAATAAAGATATTAATTTATCAATTTCTATAGTTTTTATTAAAATATGAATACACTTTATAGAGAAGTGTTACTTATTAATAATATATACGGATTCCTGGAGTAGTAAGTAATAACCCTACGGCTAAAAATGTAAACACAAGGAATAACAGGTATGAATTGAAATAGAAAAGAAATTATATATGCATGGGTATAATTGACCAAAATAGGTGCAAGAGAAATACTTACGGTGCGCACCTTACATCACTACAACCAATTCCAAATGCTCGGTCTAGGAGATGCCTTATTAAGGTAGAACCGTAGAAACAATTTGGAGAAATCATGTTTATTATTTTAACTAAATTTCTAAAAATAGAAGAAGTTTCCCAAAGAAAAAAGTACTACATTTCTTTCATAAATAAGATTCGTAAGAATAAAGTATTAGCCTTCTGAAATTGTATCAATATGATCTCAATATGAACGTATTTAATCTTGTATTCTTGTTTAGAGGGAAAACAGAGTACTCTAAGGAAAAGGTCTTGTTTTTACTCTTGTTTCTAGTCCAATTATTCTACTGGCTCAGGTCGGTTCAAGCCTGTTTATTTTTAAATGTTTATTAAAAATAAGAATTGGAATTTCTGCATATCAAATATAGGACTTGCACTTAATTTATTGACAAATAATATTCGGAGTTTTAATAAATAATGTATTGAAATGAGGATACATATAATATACATAATGTATCAATCATGCTTACAAGTTACATTTACATAATTAGCCCTTAAAAGCCTAAAATAATATCCAAATGGGATGGGAACCAGGCCAGTTCCCGACCAGTCCCGGCTAGGGATGGACTCGGGTCCGGGCCGGGTCCGGGTCGGGCCTAGGCCCGGGCGGGCCGGCGGTTCAAGAATAGTGGACCCGAGACCGGCCCGGGTAGCCACCGGGTCAGGTCCGGGTCCAGGCCGGGCCGGGCCTCTGGTTTGGATTTTTTTTTTTTGCTTTCCTAACCCCCCCCCCCCCCCCCCCCTCACCCCCCACCCTCCCAAACCCCCAAACCCATCCTACCCATCAAGCCCAACCCGGGTGGAACCCCAAAAATGAAAAAAAATAATAATAAAAAATCAATTTGGCCCGAGCCCAGGCCCGACCCGGTTCACCAAAATTGAGACCCGAGCCCGGACCCGCCCTACCCCCCGGGCCTAGGCCCGACCCATACCCGGACCCGAGAACCGGGCCGGGCCGGTCCACGGGCCGGGTGGCCCGACCCGAGTCCAACCATAGTCCCGGCTATGAACACATGAAAACCCAGATCGTACCCAGCTTGAACAAATTCTAAGTAATGGTTCGCATTCATGCATTTTACTCGCCCAGTCCTGGCACAGGAACCGGTCTATGTGCAAGAAACCAATGTCCTTCACCTGACGCCTATTTGTGATAAATGGATACCATATTAGGTTAGAGTTTTCGATTTCATACTTGCATTCCATACATATAACTATTACGTACAACACACCACACATTACTTTTTTAGTCTAACACACTTTACAAATCATAGATACGAGGACATGCTGGTGTACATCCTCTGCATGTTCATGGCTTTAATCATGTTGGACTTGGCTGAATCCAGTAGTGGATCATGCAGGATTGCCTGGTCGAAGCAGAACTTTGCATCCTCCCACTTGCCCTCAGCAACAAAAACGAGACCTAAGTTGTTATACGCAGGTGCATAACCGGGTTGCAGTTCAAGAGACTTTGTTATCATTGCCTTGGCAGACTCAAAATCTCTTAGCTGGCGATAGAGATTACCCAGGTTGGAAAATATTGTATGAGCTTGTTGAGGGGTTGCCACTAACAAAGCTTGTTTATATACATCTTCAGCACATGAAGGCTCAGCTGATAGTTGCAATGAGATACCTAGCATTTATTATTATATATAGTGTCACTATTGTGATGCCCATTTATGCATGAACTATATAAAGGAAACAGCAAACCAAAAATATTTCGTCCTCCATGGCTCCTTTCACATACAAGGCCAGCACATTATTTTTCCATGTTTATGACACTGAGTGTTCGGGACCTTTGGCCTGAAATAATGAAATGTGCCTCAGGCCCTGAAGTTAACAGCCTGGTGAACCTTCTGTAGCCGGCCAACCCAAGCGGGTTCTTGTTCAGTGTATTTTTTCTTTGTTTAACACAGGGAAAACTATCAGATAGGCCCTTGTACTATAGCAAAAATGGTGATTAGGTCCTCATACTTAAAAAACACTCAATTGAACGTTTTAGCAGGTAGGATTCAGGTTTCCCAGGTAACGGACACGTGGCGGCCCACGTAAATTCTTTTTCTTTTCCTTTTTTCCCTTTCTTTTTCTTTCTCTTTCTTTTTTTCCCTTTTTTTCGCCTCTTTCCTTTTTTCTTCTCTTCTGCGCAGGCCCCTATATTGACTTCTGCCCAACACCACACCTGCACCGCTGTCACTGTTGGCCTTTGACCCGACCTGTGCGCCGTCACCGGATATCACTGCTCTTAGCCGGCAGACTCCACTGCACTTAGCCACTGCACATCACTGCACTCAGCCGCCACCCTTCACCGAGTTAGACGCCACCCTTCACTGCAGTCAGCCGCCGCCCTTTACTCCAAGAATCCAGCGATGGCCGGCCACAAACTCCAACTCCAGCGATGGCGACCGCAATCCCTAGAGATGGTTATCGCAGTCCCCAGAGGTGGTGGCCGGAGTCCTTGGCGGTGGGGGCAAAACTTGAAATCTACCCGACTCAACGAACCGACTTGTGCAAACGTGAAGAAGAAAGGAGAGAGAGAGAGAGAGAGAGAGAGAGAGAGAGAGAGAGAGAGAGAGAGAGAGAGAACAAAGAGAAAGAGAAAAAGAAACAAAGGGAAAAAGAAAAAAGGAAAAGATATCTACATGGGCTGCCACGTGGACTGCCATGTGGGCCATAACCGGAAACCTGTAGCCTACCTGCTAAAACGCTCAATTGATCAGTTTTAAAGAGTTCGGGAATTCAATTGGGTGTTTTTCAAGTACGAGGGCCTAATCGCCATTTTCTCTATAGTACGGGGCCTATTTGATAATTTTCCCTTTAACATATACTTTGGAAAGAGAGAAGATTACCAAGATTTGACCAGGCGTAGCAGCTCCTAAGACATGCAGCCGCAGTCTTGAGGTACTTCTGTGACATTTTAAACTGTTGGGTACAGAGAAAATGAAGGCCTAGTTGGTGCCAATGAATGGCATCTTCAGGATCTTCTGCAACTGCCTATTCACATGAAATAAAAGATACAATATAAAAAACAGCTGATTACCCACTTCCCCTTCAGACCAGCAATACATGGAAAGAATGCATGGAAGGGGGGATAAAGTAATTATTATTATTATTCAGTTTTGCAGAAGCTCAATAGTACATATTAAGGGTTAGGTGTCACCTAAAAACAGGTTAGACTTCACCTGGAAAGGCACCGGGCTAAGGCGAATCCAATGGAAGTGGCATGATGTGATTTGACTACTGTGTCAAATTTTGGAACAAAACAGTGAAGAAACAACTATGCATTGGAAACTCTCTCGGATTGAGTTTTCTGGTGATATGTCGCAACAGGAAAGTTCCTGACGAAGTGCCGAGTAAGTTGGTGGCGGTGGTTCTTCAAATAACCAGGGGAAAAGTTTGGAACCGGAAAACAACCCGCAAAAAAATCTCTATGGAAAAAATGGAGAAATTTCCAGAAAATAGAAACCAAAGATCGGAAAATAGCGTAAGAGCCTCTCATAACATATTGAAAATTTAAGAATAAGGAATAGTGTTAGATATACATTCTAGAATAGTCTATTGTACTTAACCGTAATAATCTGTGTTTGTTAGAGTCGGTTAGTAGTCTGACCTAACTGATTCTATATATATCTTGTAATGCTGCTTCAGAACAATTAAGTAATAATAAGCTTCTTTTCTCTATCTCCTTCTGTATGATTTCTATTATGGTATCAGAGCTGTAGCTCGAATCCATGGTGATCTCACATGATTCTTCCCATTCTACTGCCAATTCTGGCAATTCAAATTCTCCTGTAACCTTCGCACATCCACTACCGATCAAACTCGATGCTAATAATTTTCTCTTCTGGAAGCATCACGTGGAATCTGTTGTTTGAGCGCATAAACTCCTTCGATTCATCGTGAAACCTCAAATTCCGAAGAAATTCAACTCTGATGACGATGAAGCAAGTGAAAATGTCAATGCGGAGTATACTATCTGGGAGCAACAGGACCAGATGTTGTTCTCGTGGTTGCTTGCATCGCTTTCAGGGTCATTTCATGCTCGAGTGATTCACTGTAGATACTCGCATCAACTGTGGATTACTGGAGTGAGATCAACATTTATTTCAAGTCGCAAATCCTTGCCAAAGCCAGACAACTCAAATCCGAGTTGTATAACACTGCGAAAGGAGATCGATCTGTTTCTGAGTATCTTCTTCGCATCCAGACTATCGCTGACAATTTGCTATCAATCGGAGAACCTATTTCAGCAAAAGAGCACATTAATGTCTTACTCGAAGGCCTACCGGAAGAATATGAATCTCTAGCCTCTTCAATTTCTTCGCGTAGTCCTTCGGAACCTGTTACCTTATCTGAAGTTGAATCTCTTTTGGCTGCTAAGGAAATGAGACTGAAGAAGCTTCGTGAATCCTCACAATCAAATATGTTTTCTGCAAATGTTGCTCGTGTTGAGCCATCACTCCCAAATCATACTCCAGCTCCTGAAAATTCTTCAGAAACTCCTTCTGTACAAGTTGCACAGTTCAATGCACCTCCCACCAGCCACCACTGATTCCTACAGAGGCAGAGGTCGTGGAGGACCTGGATGAGGTCGTGGTGGCAGGTATGGTGGTCGCAGCTCAATCATATGTCAAGTCTGTGGCAAATCTGGTCATCACGCTCTAATCTGTTATCACAGGTTCAATCCTTCCTACAATATTACTTCAAACACTCCATATAATTCCTATCCAAACTCTCAATCCTCTCCCAATCATATTCCTTCATCAATCCCCTATCAACCAAGATTTCCTGCACCTCAGTTCAATACTTCAACCTCCACTCCACAATTCCCAAACTGGGAACAACAACCATACAATTCACCTTATACTGCACCTCATCCACAACAATACAGTACTACCCCTACTGCAGCCTGGGCTTGTGCAACCCCTTCTATTTTGGGACCTGCTCCACAGCATCAAACACTGACTCTGGAGCCACTCATCATGTAACTCCAGATCCTTTAAACCTGCAATGGGCAATGGTCAAGGTTTGAATATAAAGCACATTGGTTTTACTACTTTTCCCTCACCATATCAGTCCTCTTTATCTCTCTCTTAACAATATTTTGCATGTTCTCTCTATAACTAAGAATCTAATCAGTGTCAGTCAGTTTGCTAAGGACAACAATGCCTTCTTATAGTCTTAATTCTACATCTTCCACTACATTTCTATCTACTTGTAATAATGTTAAGCCATGTAATGTCTCTGAAACATGTAATCTTTGGCATTTAAGACTTGGTCATCCTCATTTTGAGGCTCTCAAATGTATTCTTCAACAATGTAATGTTCCTTTTGTTAATAAGAATGCTGTTGAGTTTTGTTCTGCTTGTTGTTTAGGCAAGTCACACAGGTTGCCTTCATCCCCTTCCATAACACCATACAATAAACCTTTTGAACTTGTTTTTACTGATTTGTGGGGACCAGCCCCTATTCTATCCTTTGATGGCTATTCTTATTACATAGCCTTTATTGATGCATCCACAAGATTCACTTGGGTGTATTTGTTAAAAAGAAAATCTGATGCTCTCTCTGTTTTCACCAACTTCTATAACTATGTACTTCATCAATTTTCTGTCTCCATTAAGTCCCTCCAATCTGACTGGGGAGGTGAATTCAGATCTTTTAATCAATTGTTGTCTGAAAAAGGAATCACTCATAGGGTCATTTGTCCACACACACATCATCAAAATGGTGTTGCGGAAAGAAAGCATAGAAATATTGTTGAAAAAGGTTTATCTCTTCTCTCACATTCTGCCCTTCCTCTTAAATTCTGGGATGCAGCCTTTGCTACTACAGTCCATCTCATTAACAGAACTCCATCCAAATCTATTTCCAATGTCAGCCCTTACTTCAAACTGTATGGCTCCCATCCTGACTATTCCTTTCTCAAAGTTTTTGGCTGCTCTTGTTATCGTTTCATCAGGCCATATAACAAGAACAAACTTGGGTTTCACTCTGAAGAGTGTATCTTCCTTGGATATTCTTCTACTCACAGAGGGCACAGATGCCTATCTCCTTCAGGAAAAATATATCTCTCTCGAGATGTTATTTTTAATGAGTCCAAATTTCCTTACCTCACCCTCTCTTTCCCTCCTCACCACCTACATCACCTGAATTCCCACTGCCTATTTCTGTTCCTATATCCATCTCATTTCCATCCAAAACAACTGAATCATCCTCTACAGATCAATCAAATCAGTCCTCTTTTTCAGAAATTCAATCTGGTTCAAATAACCAAAGTCAACATTCCTCTTCAACATCAGATTCCTCAAATTCTTCCACTCCTGCTATCCAACCTAACACTACCACTCAGATCACACCTTCTTCTTCTCCAATCTCCCCTGCTCCTGTCACCAACAACCATCCTATGAGGACTAGAGCCAAATCTGGGATAGTAAAACCAAGACTTAATCCAACCTTACTGTTGGTTCATACTGAGCCTAACTCAGTAAAACAAGCCATGGCTTCTCCTCACTGGTTTCTTGTACCTCTTCCTCCAGACAAACAAGCAATTGGCTGCAAATGGGTTTTCAGAATTCAGAATTAAATAAAATGCTTATGGTTCTCTGAACAAGTACAAGGCCAGACTGGTGGCTAAGGGTTTTCATCAAAAATTTGGTACTGACTTTGGAGAAACATTTTCTCCAGTTGTCAAGCCTGTGACAATAAGAGTTCTTACACTTGTTGTATCTAATAAATGGTCTATTCAGCAACTTGATGTTAATAATGCTTTCTTAAATGGTGAAATTGATGAAGAAGTTTACATGGTGCAGCCTCCAGGTTTTCAAGTGCAAGACACTTCTCTTGTCTGCAAGTTGCACAAGTCCTTGTATGGGCTTAAACAAGCCCCAAGGGCTTGGTTTCTCAAATTAACTTCAATTTTGTATAAAGTTGGCTTCAAACAGAGTAAAAGTGATCCTTCCTTACTCATTTTGATCTATGTTGATGACATATTGGTTATTGGAAATCACCCTATTGCCATTCACCAGATTATTGAAACTCTTGACTCCTCTTTCTCTTTGAAGCACTTGGGAGACCTTGACTTCTTTCTGGGAATAGAAACACATAAACTACCTGATGGCAGCCTACACCTCTCCCAAGCCAAATATATCAAGGATTTACTTAACCAAACTGGTATGCTTCACTCCAAAGCAGTGAAAACACCTATGGTCAGCACTTTAAAACTCATTCAAGAGGGCAGTAATCATCTCCCAAATCCTTCTTACTACAGATCAGTTGTAGGAATTCTGCAATATGCTACTCTTACTAGACCTGACATATGTTTTGCAGTCAACAAGGTTTGTCAGTTTATGGCAGCACCACTGCAAGAACACTGGCTTGCAGTTAAACACATTCTCAGGTATCTATATGGTACCACCAATCATGGCCTCATCATCAAACCTCTACCTTTATCCTCCATACCTCTTCCAATCTCAGCCTATTGTGATGCAGACTGGGCATCTGACCCTAATGACAGGAAATCCACATCTGGCTCATGCATATTTCTGGGTTCTAACATTGTTTCATGGTGGTCAAGAAAGCAGGACAGAGTAGCAAGATCTTCAGCTGAAGCTAAATATAGAAGCCTAGCTGATACTACTGCAGAGTTATTATGGATTCAAGTCCTTCTACAAGAACTTCAAGTCCCTTCCAAGTCTATTGTGATAACCCGAGCACTGTTCAGCTTGCTCACAATCCTATCTTACACTCTAGGATCAAGCATATGGAACTTGATCTCTTCTTTGTCAGAGAAAAGGTCCATCTGAAGCAGCTTCAAGTCTATCACATTCCTTCTCCCTATCAAGTTGCTGACATCCTAACAAAACCACTCTCCAGCTCCAATTTTCTTGATCTAAGGAGTTGTTGATCAATCACCTTCATCTTCAAGGGGGGAATGTTAGATACACATTCTAGAATAGTCTATTGTACTTGATTGTAATAATCTGTTTTTGTTAGAGTCGGTTTGAGTCGGTTAGTAGTCTGACCTAACTGATTCTATATATATCTTTTCTCTATAATAAGCTTCTTTTCTCTATCTCCTTCTGTATACATCTATAGAACAAGTAAATAGGAACAAGTAAGTAATAATAAGCTTCTTTTCTCTATCTCCTTCTGTATGATTTCTATTAAATAGGAACTAAATTGTTGATATATCAAAATGATACAAAAGCATTATATTTAAACACGATATAGTAATGCATGACACCTTATCTATAGATGTATATTTAGAAGCTCCACAACCGTATCTAGAATGTGCACAGCTATCCTCAACATTCTCAACACTAACAAAGGTCAAAAAATGATCCTTATGCTGAACACTCGAGTGTTTGGTAGGAAAAAACAGGGCTCTGTTGAGAACATAAAAATAGGAAGAAATACAATCTTTAGTTTTGTGTACAAGTGAGAAGAAAATAAGATGTCATGAATATAGTTTTTTGCATATCCCATGTGTACCCTTTCCCTCTTTCTTTTTAAAACACCACACAATTCTTTTTTGTATTTCCATCTCTTATTTCCTCCTACCATATGAATCAATATGATACATGATATTCACCCTTTCTCACATTTTTCGTTCTACTTGCAGTTCCACGATCTTGCTTCTCTCTTCCTCTCTCTACTCTTTTTTTTGTTAACCAAACAAAGCACTAAGACCAAAATAAAACTGCGAGTTTACCTGCTTTAAACTATAAATGGCACGTTCTTTCACTTCTGACAATTCATTATGATCAATTTCAAACCCGGCTGCAATTTCATGTTGGGCTTTATGAACCATTGCAAGACCAGCCCATGCAACTGGAGACTCTGTCAGGCTAGAATCGCCTTCTCTAATTATTGAAGCCATTTCATTTCCAGCCCAAGATAATTGGTCATTAGGATTTTGAGACCTCTCAGCATCCCTGATTCGGTGAACTCCAATGGCAAATCGTGTTGCTAAACAATTAGGTTCCAGTATTCCTGCCTGAAGACCATCATAACAGAATAGTTTGAGGTTTTCCAAGAGGAACATAGTCAGGAAAAATATGATTGAGGAACTAATCCACTCATGTAGTGAGAATCAAATGGTTATTTAAATAAAATAATTTTTTAAAATATTGAGTACAAATACAATAAATATAAGGAAGTGTACAATAAAGGATACTATATCATTTTCATTTACCCCAGTGCCGCAAAGGCTCCCACCTACGGTGGGGTAAGAGGGGGTCGAATGTACGCAGTCTTACCCCTGTGCTAAAGCACAGAGAGACTGTTTCCGGATGACCCATAGTGAAAATCCCGTCCAAAATTGCATGGACTAACTGTTGCTTCATAACAAAGAAGAGCAGACAGTTTAGTGAGCCATTTTGCTTTATTCCATCATAATCTCAAGCCAAAAAATAATGAATCTTTGGCTCCATTGCAAATGATGGAAATTACAATAAAGGATACTATCTGTACAAAAATTAATAATTAAGGAACCAGTGGTGCTACCTTCTCCAAACATCTGTCTGAACTTCTGTGATCATTGGTCAAATAAAATGCATTAGCAAGATTTGTCCATATATGAGCTGCTCTGGGATCTGTATTAATAGCTGCTAGCAAACACTCCTTGGCAACATTGACTGCTGCAATTTGGTCAGAGAGAGCCACACTATTGGCATTTGCTCCAGCACCTGCAACATGTCTTCTAAATACCTTATAAAGTTAAAACTACAAGACAAGAGTAATCATACATTCATACCTGCAACAACTGAACCATATTTACACAGCATAAGGGCAGCAAAGTTAACCAAAGCACCAGGATGGTTTGGATCTTTCATTACTAAATCTTGGAAGCACTTCTCGGAAAGGTCTAAATCCCCACTGAAAAATGAAAAAGTAACAGCATATGGCTAGAAGGCCTTTACTAAAATCAGTGCAAGAAGATACTAATGACTTTGAGCTGCTAAAAAGTGAAAGTGTAAGTAAAATGAATGAAGCCACCACCCCACCCCAAAAGGAAAGGAAAATGTTATTTTTTTAAATGATAATACTTGTAGTTTCTCATCATTTTCATAAAAGTTGGAGGGACTATCCACCACTGCAACAATTACTTAACTTCTCCAACAGGAAGTATCTGTGTGGGCAGTATTACGCTGTGGGAAATCTCTTGTAGCCCCAGCCTTAAAAGTTTTGTCCTGCGGTCCTGCCTGATCAATACTTCTAGGTTCTCTTATCCAGGACAAGAGAAAACTTACACAGTTGTACACTGCACCTATGAACGGTTGCCACTTTATTTCAAGACCAAGAGTTGATTAACAAGACCTTTCTAAATATAATGATGATGTTGATGATGTTGATGATGATGATAAACTTTATTTCAGGACCAACAGTTAAATAACAAGACCTTTCTAAATATGATGATGATGATAAACTTTCTGGTTATCTCCTTCTGACAGTTAGAGGTAATGTTCATATTGATATGTATTGGGCCTAGACTTAATGGTGAAACGTGAGTGTTTAATCACTCTCTCTCTAGCAAAGCTTGATATAGACTGTAAACTTGAACACCAGTGTCATCAAATTGCAGACATAACACCGCAATAATGCTATTGCATAACGGATTTTAATCATTGTATTGAACCTGCTATGGGAACTGCAATGCCAAGAGTTGTTGTAAGTGTGATGCCGGCAATGGAGTTTTAGGTCTATATGTCCCTTTTCAGAAAAATTAGTGGCACCAACTCACTATCTGCTCTTTCTGCAGTCCCATATTCCTACAGTCGTGTAGACTTGGTTTATAGACAAAATTTTCTTCACAACATTTTAGTAAAAGCTCTATCACGTCACTACTCTATGCTCTAATAAAAGAAATTTTCACTCCATCGAATTCTTGCAACTATATATGCTCTAAAGTCCATTCATAGCATCAATTATGCCATTAGTGAGAATAATATAGATACCCCCTTTTCTAGTTTTACACTAACACGACTTTAATATGCGAACAACATGGTATTTGTTACTTCTCCATCCCTGCCCCTGCCCTAACTGAAAAAGTAGTATATGCCTAACCTTTGAAGGTAAGCGAGTCCAAGGTTTCCAAGGCAATCCAAGTTGTTAGGCGCCATTGCTAATACATTGGAGAGAACCGCTATAGCACTCTAGGAATGGGAAAGTGTAAGTAATATCAGATCAAAAATGTAAAAGATTATTTAGAGTCCAACTAGCAGGATATAGAAGAAATAAAAATAAACATAATATAGATATAACCATTTCTTATATATAAATAAGAAATAAAAATAACCTGCAAACGACCAGTTCGTAAAAGTTTTAAGCCAAGAATGTTCCAAATTGATCCCTGTCTAACATCAGCTTGCATTGAGACTTTCAGTTTACAAAAAATCTCCTCCAGTTCTACAGGATCTAGTTCCTTGCCTGAACTGCAGTCATCTAATGCTCCTAGCAAGATACACTGCATGGGTTTGATCAAACTGATTGTGAAAACGCACAGCAATTTCTAGGTTATTTAAAACTAAATTTTAAAAAATGGTAGGTGAAAGCAATAAAAACAGCATTTCAGTATTTGTACCTCTGCATGATGTGTATGGATCAAACAAAGTAACTCCAGCCTGTCTACTACTTCTTCAGGTCGAACTAAAATATCTGCTGCTTTCTCGTATTCTGAACATGCCTATAAAGAAGAGCTTAAGTGCTTCAGCTTTCAAGAAGTATGGAGCTAACTAAATTAAAATTATAGCAGGATCCAAGATACCTTTTGAGGCTGACCCATCCTTTGATACATTAAGCCAAGTATAAAATGAGCATGAGCATTCTTAGGCATTTTCCGCACAACATGTATCAATCCCTAAAATCATAAGGAGTGATTATGCCTAAAAACACCGTCTAAGAAGGGACACTCATTAAAAAACACGACTAAATGTCAAAGGATGCAAGCTGAAAATCCTAGCTCCCATTCTAAAAGTAACTACAATCAGGAACTTATAACAGTTATCCATTCTTGGTCCAATATCAATCAAATACAAAATTTGGACACATATGAAAGATCAACGTAGGGGAATTTAGTAAGCAGATTTTTCGCAGTTCCACTGTTAGAGTCACGGGAAGTCAAACTATTGATAATAATAATAGTATTAGCTATTATGATAAAGTGTATTCCAGAAGGAAAGGGAATATTAAGTAGCTAGCTGTATTGTTTGTGGGGGTCGGGTGGACTTCTATAAATAGATAGCTAAAGGAGGAATAAGGCAGGCTGTCATTTGGTATTGGGCTGGGATTGGAGAGTTGACATCTCTTTAACTGTCAGGGCACTTTCTCTCTCTTTTCTGTTTGGTCGAATAACAATTCATGTTCACTGTTCATTCTCGTTCCTATTGTTTGCTAGAATTCTCTGTAATTCAGTTAGATACTTAACATTGGTATCAGAGCAACGATCTTGTTACCTGTTCATGGTCGTTACAAGAGGAACGATGGAAATGCGATTGGAGAACCTGGAACGCGAGTTGGAACGGAGTCGTCTGGACATGTTGCGAGAGTTGGAGAAGACTTGCATGGAGGTGATGCGCGATCGCGATCGCGAAGACATGCGCGAAGAGGCCAAGCGTACTCGCGATGAGTTACGCGAGCTGTTTTTGACCAGGAATGATAGTCGTTCGCGTGGAAGATCGAAAACGACCAGAAGAAACCAGCGCTCAGGCAGTCGCGAATCATCGTCTTCCTCAGGTAATCATCATTCTTCATCCTCTAGACGAAATGATGATTACAGCAAATTGGTGGAAAAATCTGGAAGGAAAGTAGTTTTACCACTGTTTAATGGACATGATGCTTATGGATGGATAGTTAAGGCTGAGCGTTTCCTTAAAATGAATCATATAGGGGAAGATGATAAAGTAGAATTAATTACTTTAGCTATGGAAGGAAAGGCTCTTAACTGGTTTCAGTGGTGGGAAGAACACACTGAGGTGAGAACCTGGGAATCATTCAAGTCTGCCTTGACTCGTAGATTTCAACCAGGATTGATAAATGATCCGTATGGTCCCTTATTGAGTGTAATTCAAACTGGCAGTGTGATGGAGTATAGGGAACAATTTGAGTTGATGGTGGCACCCTTGAAACAGACTGATTTGAAAACACTCAAGGGAATTTTTATGAAGGGTTTGAAAGATGAAATCAAAGCTGAACTAAAGTTATATCCAGTCAGAACTCTTGCAGAATTGATGGACAGGGCTTTGCTAGTTGAACAAAGGAACCAAACTCTCAGATATGCCAAAAACAAGGAAGAAGATAGAAGAGGATTGAAGGAGAAAGGGTATACTGCATTACCGAATCACAAATGGATGGATGAAAACAAGTGGAAGAGCAGTATGAATAACCAGTCCAGTCAAGGGAAACCTGCAGTGGAAAAGAAAATGGAGACAGAAAATAAAGAGCAGGGAATAAGGAGTACACACAGATTATCTCAAGCTGAGTTACAAGAATTGAGCAGAAAAGGTTTATGTTTCAAGTGTGGTGAAAGATGGGGCAGAGATCACAGCTGTAAGATGAAACACTTTCAGATCATCATGTTGGATGAATCTGAAGAGGAGGAGGATGTGTTGGACAATAATGTTACGGAACATGCTTCACAGTTGGAAGAGACAGACCAGAATAATATGCAGATATCCCTTATGAGCAAAGAAGGGATAACAACTCCTAAGACTTTTAAATTGAAGGGAAAGTTAAGGAGATTATTGAGGAAATCAATCCTCCTGAGATTATTGAGGAAATCAATCCTGTGGCTTATAAGCTGAAGTTGCCGGAAGATTGTAGAGTGCATCCTGTGTTCCATGTATCTCTCCTTAAGAAGACAGTGTCTACTACTGTACAGACACAAACTTTACCAAAGTGCCTCTCGGAAGAATGGGAATTACAGGTCTGTCCAGAAGAAGTAAAGGAAAGCAGAATCAACTAAGTTGGAAAAGTTGAAGTTTTGGTGCACTGGAAGAATATGCCAGAGTTTGAGGATTCTTGGGAGGAGCTGCAACAGTTTCAAAGGCGATTTCCTGACTTCCACCTTGGGGACAAGGTGGTAGTTCCAGGGGGGAGTGATGTTAGAGTCACGGGAAGTCAAACTATTGATAATAATAATAGTATTAGCTATTATGATAGTGTATTCCAGAAGGAAAGGGAATATTAAGTAGCTAGCTGTATTGTTTGTGGGGGTCGGTGGACTTCTATAAATAGAAAGCTAAAGGAGGAATAAGGCAGGCTGTCATTTGGTATTGGGCTGGGATTGGAGAGTTGACATCTCTTTAACTGTCAGGGCACTTTCTCTCTCTAATCTGTTTGGTCGAATAACAATTCATGTTCACTGTTCATTCTCGTTCCTATTGTTTGCTAGAATTCTCTGTAATCCAGTTAGATACTTAACATCCACTCCCTAGCGCAGAGCCAAAACACAGTATAGAAGTAGTATAAATGTACACCATATAAATATCTAGTGTAAATACTCTATGATTTACATAAATTGATGAAAGCCTGCCCTCAGTATTTAATATGTACACTACAACTCCCAGATGCACATACCTCACTGGTTAAAGTCTTCCCTTAGCATTGTAGTACTCAATGAGTAAACCAGGTTTAAAGTTCCGGAGTTGGGCTAAAAGTTCAGTGCTAGAGAATATAACAAGAGAGTTCAACTTAATCAAAAAGGGAAGAAATCAACAATTGGTGCTTTATCTTTGAATTACATTCAAATTGTTAAATGTTGGAACATTTCCTATGTTATAAAATTATCAAAGACGAATTACAATTACTACTGCCTAGTGCCTGCTATGTTACAGACTTACAGTTATGTTTCATTTCAATTTCAGATTGTAAAAATGAGTATTAATCTAAGTTAAAGATCAATTAAAAACATGTAGTATACCTGTACAGGCTAAGCAAATATGTAGTATATGGAAGTATAAGAAGATTCAAGGAGCAGAACAAGTCACACATTTTTAAGGCTGCTAACTTTTTCTTCACGTGATGAAGTTCCTTGACTGTTCTGCTCAGCATCTGGATCCGCTCCATTACAATCAAGAGGGCTGTCCGCCTTACCATTTCGTGACCGACATTTCCCAAACTTTTTTTGCTTACCTTCTACATCCATTCCTTCAACATAATTGCTCGTCTTATGCTGACTCCTATCATCAGTGACTATCCTACAAAAATATTGGCCAAACATTTATAATTGCCATTATCCAGCAGAAGGATAAAAGTGCAGTCATCTCCTCTAATATTTCATTATTACTCTTGATTGTCTTTCGGTTTATTGATGTTCTATTTCAATGTTGCTTCCCAATAAAAGTGCGCCCAGATTGTGATGTACCTAGACCTGTCCCCGGTTCGGAACCGAACCGGAACCGGAACCCAACCACCGGTTCGCGGTTCCAAAAACTATGAAACCGGAACCGCATAGTAGCGGTTCTAGTCTGGTTCCGAACCAGCGGTTCCGGTCCGGTTCTCAGGTTTTTGTTTTTTGTTTTTGTTTTTTTATTTTTATTCATTGAGAGTATTTATCTCTATTTAATTAAAATATTAAAGATATAATAATATTGCATTTTTATTCTTTATATTTAAGAATTTTGTTATTCCTTAAAATATAGTAAGTATGATGTAATAAGATTATTCCAATAAAATAATTTCCAAAAATTGTTAGTATAATTAATAGTTACAAATGTTATAATGAAGTATAATAATTAGATAGTCAACAACTAGATAGACATAAATTAGGGTATATGAATGTACAAGTCAATAATTAAAATACTTTAGTAATTAGTAAATTTTGTATACTTATTACTATAATTTGTAATAAAAGAGGTTTTATAACTAGTAGTGTGTAAAAGGTTATACCTAAAAAATATTATTTACAGAGTATTATTTTCATTTTAAGTAAAACAACTATCACTACTAGTCTACCACTACTACATATTGATATTAGTATTGTTATTATCATTACTATTATTTATTTAATTCCTTTTTATTTTATTTTTATTTAAAAAGGCCGGTTTCGGTTTGAAAACAGCCTGTTCCGGTTTCAGTTGAACCGTAAACGGGAGATAGGTCTAGATGTTGTACTACATACATAGTAAATAAGAACAAAGGGGACCTCGGTGTTGTGTCGGGCGGTAGAGTAGAGAGGGCTGTGGGAAGGCAGTCATGGTTGTCGGCCTCGGGGGGTTCAGCATTGAGGTCAGCCAAAATCGAGACTTTCAACGGTTGAGATTGCAGCGATTGTGACGGCGCGGAGTTGGTGGCGGAGCTGTCGGCAGCGACGGATGATTCTGATTTCATTGAACAGATGCGAAGGAATTGTGTAGGACACAATAGGTGATTAGATAGACAAACCTTATGAATCGGTTTGAGTGAGCTTCATCAGCCTGAGACATCAGTCTCCATTTCTTCTTCACTGGCAGTGGACTGGAAGCATTTAGGAAGTTTTTCCTGACAATGATGACTACTTACAAGTTTGAGATTGTTTAATTTAAATAAATAGGAAGCCATACTAATAATTAAATAAGGTAATTTAAGTATATTTTCAAAAATAATTTTTATAAGTATATAATATAATTGGGTTTAGTCTTCGTACTATCACGAAAAAGTCAATTAGGTCATCGTACTTTTAAAAAATCAATCAAATCCATGAACTTTGTAAAAACATTCAATTGGGTCTATTTGCAGGTTACTTGTCATGTCAGCAGGTCACCAGCTGACGTGACGCACACGTGGCGGTCCCACATGTGTGTCACGTCAGCACGATCATTGGTAATTGGGCTGCAACATTTGTTCCACGTCAGTGGGTGACCTGGTGACATGGCAAGTAACCTGTAAATGGACTTAGGTGAACATTTTCCGAAAGTTCGAGGATTTGATTGATTTTTTTAAAGAACGAGAACCTAATTGACTTTCTCGTGATGGTACGAGAACCAAATTGATAGTTTTCGATAATCCCCTCCTTAATAGCACTACAACTCTAGTAAAAAAATCCACTCACCCGAGCTCGCATTTATGGCCGTCTATTTTACGCACCTAATCTACGGGTTCTAACATCCTTCCATTTCCTTCTACACCTAGAATCGCTCAACACGCTGAAATCCCTTCACTCATTTCACAATCGATGAATTCTTCTCCTAAAATCTGAACAACCTCAACTAATCGATGATGTTGCTCCCTCCTGCCAAGCGTTGGCTACTGCTGCTCTCTCGGAGATTCTACATCTAAAATCACCCCAAACGCCTGAAGTTTCCCCTGCCTCTCTGAGTCACCGTGGAACATAGCGCCTCGATCTGAGTGATGTCCTTCCCTGATAGAATCGAACAAATTGCTAGAAGAGTGTATGTTTGGCCAATGAAGAGGCGCTCGAAGACGATGAGGATACAACAGAGGAAGATGTGTACATACACTGCTCCAGCTTCTCTAATCCATCTTTGCTTCACCCGATCAAATTTCCATCTCAATCTAGGGTTCGTTCACTACTGATGTGAGTTTTCTCGCACTTAAAAAGTTGTAGAAAAGTGGTTGAAAGTACGAGTATCGTCTCCAGAGGGACGGACAAAAGGGAATCAAAAATTAATTAAATTCAGCGATTAAAAATAAATACAATAAATTCGTCGTGCGAGATTGGTTGGTTGAATTGAAATTAAACTAAAGCGAATGAGCGATTAAAATAAAAGGTTGGGTTCTTCTTAATTAATGACGAAGGGAATAGGGATTGATTCCGGAGTAATCAGATTTCTGGCATATCAAGCAATTGTAATTCTAGCGGCCGTTCTAGGTTACACGAGACATCAGTTAAATTATTCAAACACAAATTAAACGACATTCATGCAATTAATCCATCAAGAATCTAATCATACATCATGATTAACCCCTTCATCAATCCCAAATCCCTAATTAGAACTACTCGCAATTCATAATTGAAGAATCAACGGAATTGGGATGAATAGAAATAATTGTCATTAATTAAAAAGATGGAACTTACAAAGAATCCCAAAAGATTGATGAACAAGGCTGAAAAGCTCTCTAAATTTCGTATTGGGCACTCTCTCTAAGCTCACCCCTTTGAAAATGGGGGTTTACAGGCTGTTTAAATAGAAAAATCGGGTAAAATTTGAGCTGAATTGGGATTTCCGAAGGCAGGCATGGTGCCAGGCACGGTGCCAGGAAAGATCGTGCCTTCGATCATGCCTCCGGAACAAAACCGCGCATTTTGGGCAAGCACGATCGTGCCTGCCCGGCAGTAGCTCCGCGATGCTTTCTCTTCACACACGATCGTGCCTGACTTTGAGGGCACGATTGTGCCTACTTAACTTCCGAATTTGGAAATGCTTCCTTCATGAAAGTTGTAGATAATGAAGTCCTATGTCCACCCCAATTTGCCGAATGTGATTTTAATCATCCAATAAAGAGATATGATCAACGCGGTGGAAGGTATCATTCTGATATCGCAGCAGAGATCATTTGACTTCATCGTCTGTTTCACCTTCTTTCTCTCAGATTATAGCAAAGGTGTCTTCTTATGATTTGTAGCCATTGAAGTTAGCTTTCATATGGAATTTGAATCGTGTATGTTGAATGTTTCTACAAAGATATATGCTTGAATGATTGACAGAAGGTCATTCTGATCGCCGATTTCAAGCTTTGTTCATCTTTTTTTGATCCCGTAGTCAATTCTAGAGCTCTTTTTCCTTCTAATCTTCATCGTGAACCTCTCGGTGATCTCCAAATCTCTCAATTCGCTCTCGAATGCTTCTCGAATCATCCCGATTGATCCTCAAGTGCCGGTGCCGAACTCTAAATTCCCGATTTTTACTCCAAATAACACAAAACTCGAACCGACGCTTGGTACACATAACTTGAGCTAAAATTGAGATTTGTGACACCTAAAAGTTAGGGAAAACATCAAAAACTGATCTCAACACGCATCAAATGTGTGTCGTAATACGGACTTATCAACTACATTCTCTGTTTCATTTGTTTATAAGCATATTACCTATTTTGGTTTGCATCCATTATTTCAGAGTTTAGCCTCAATATGTTTCTTTGATGATTAGTAAAAAAAATTATCTTCAATTATTAATTTGATATGTAAAATGAGACTCTTTGAGTAGCAATCCGAAATTTCTTTTTTCTTCTCCAAATATTCTCCGAATTAGTACGTAACTATGTATATATACCCTCAAACAAGCTTCTGAGTTATTTTTAGTCATCTTGTATTGTTGTATATACTCCGTAGATTGTACTATGCTCTGTGGGTGTAGTTATTTTAAAGATTGAACTCACTTGGTAACTTTTCCATGGAGCATATACTTTTCTTAATTTCATAGATGGCCGAGTTTAATATCTTAAGCATCATGTGGTTGAGGTATGGTGAATAGAATTTTTTGCGGATTGAAACACGTTGATAGGGAAGATAGTTTGTTAACTTTCAGCATACCTCCACACTTCATGGATTCAAACACGTTGATAGGGAAGATAGTTTGTTAACTTTCAGCATACCTTATCTGCCAAATCTTTTGTTCCAATTCTAGAATGATCATTTGTCTAACACTTTTTAGTTAGTTTGTGGACCACTGCATTTTTCATATTGCATTTTTCATTTCGGGATATGCCTTCTCATAACTTTCACTTATTTTTTGTTCACACAAGTCTCTTGATCAACATTGATTCCACATTTTGTTTCAATCTCGTGATTTTAGCTTCTAACTTTAGTTTTGTGTTTCTTAAACAATGTCTGCTAAAACAAGGAAGCCAATTTATTTACCTTGAGAGTTCTTAAGCTTCATATTTACTTTGACAAGGTACATATTTACTTCTTCAATATATTTGATTTGGATCCTAATCACATTTCAAGGACTGAAACACTTTGATAGGGAAGATAGTTTGTTAACTTTCAACATATCTTATTCAATGTTATTCATTGAAGACTGAATTTGTATAGTCTTCTTGATATACAGAGTATTTCTTATTTGATACAAAGTTAGGTTTGCGTATTATAATGTAAGTATTATTTTTGAAAACACCTTCAGCTCTCTGAAAATTTCCCAAGTGTTCTCTTATTGTTCCAGATCACCGGGACTTTCGTTTGTGTGCTCAAACGATCGTTCGTTAGCCACCGTATCCTGGGAAACGGTTGTTGCAACGCTCCTAGCACCGTGGGAGGCGACGAATACGTTTTAAGGACATCGTGCGTAGCACGAGCTCTGGCTAAACTCTGTTCCATCTTATTTCGGTTTTCTTTAGCTATTTAAATTAATTAATTATTTTATTAATTAATATTTCTTCATTTTTCTGAGACACACCCAACGGTTCAATGCTTTGTATTTATCACAACAACTGGTGCGCATCTTTGACGCCCAAATAGAAGAGGGTGAGACATATGCAATGATGCACGTACTTTACTATGAGGTCCAATATTGAACACTATAGCTTCTCAATTCCTTATTCTGCTTTCTTCTTTTCAATTTCTTCTTGCTCCCCTTTCTTAATCAGTGATTTGGAAGATGACTCTATATTTTGCATATGTCATGTTTGATAAAATGCTTAGTTGAAGGAAAAAATTTGGAATGCGATAATCTACTATTCTGTAATTTCTGTTATGCAACTGATTTGAACTATTCTGATATGGACATTTTTATGGGTTCAAAAAAGATGCTTAGAACAAGGATGTCTACGATATCCTCTCATCGTGTCAAGATAAAAACATTTACATTTCATTAAAATTAAGCATCTTTAGAAGTTCTGTCCAAATATATTGTAAGTAGTAAAAAAGCTTTAGACTGAGTTATTGCCTTAAAATCAAAATTGGTATTGGACATAAGTTTAGCTCAATCTAATCAACCGCTGCTTTTTAAGGCAATACTCTGCTATTCAATTAAATACAAGATTATTTATTTGTCACTTCGTCCAACAATACTAATTCACCAAGGAGTTCTAACGTACTAATATGGTATACCATAAGATGCAATATACTATGGTTTCCATGTATCCTAATAAAGTTAGCTAATGTACTTTGACAAATTTTTTAGCTAATATACAAGTTATTACTTTTCTTATTTCTTGTGTGTGTGGGAATAATTGGAATGCATATATTTGTTTCTGAATTCATTCACTATTTAAGACAAAATTTTAAATTTACCTTAACTTAATGGTCAAGGATATGGATAGCTCTGCAATTCTTCTTCCATAGAGTAATTTGGTCTGTTTGGCCTACTTAAAGAAGACACACTATTTTTGAGACAATAAGAAACGTCCAAAGGAATGGCATCCTGACCCTGAAACAAATGAGAAAAAGACCATCTTTCTTAGGTAAACTTAAATACGGAGTATAAACTTTCATTTGTTCAATTTTTCTTACTCATCAAGAGGCTCCAAAAAGGGAAAAAGAATATTCTTACTTCTTAGCTTACCATCTCATCTAATGGACCACCAGGGAAGTATGGAAAGTTCAAACAAACA